ACTATAATTCTAGAAGAATTCTGGTTGATACACACTGCTGAACACAGACTTTAACTTGGTGTGCTCTCTGGGTGAATAGCATTTTAATTGCTAAGTTGTGGTAAAATGCTGTGCTTAATTATGGACTCAAGTATCTAATTTGTCAGTCATTGCTGCTATTTGAAACCCTCTGGGTTGTTTTTACCATCGTTCTACTGTGTGCACTTGAGTTACAGAGGGCTTTATCTCCTTGGACACATCTGAGCAGTGCTGTCACTTTAGAGTAAAAAGCAGGAAATGGGCAGGAAATGGAGGCATAATTAAATCTATACATATCTACTCAGGAAAAAGTTTCATCATCAACTACTTGAATACTGAGAATTCCTTACCCATAAATTGATATAATTAATCACAACTTGAGAGATCAATTTAATAAGAATCTATGAATGGTAACACTGCGTGTGTAGTCATAGCTATGAGTTGAGTCATGGCAAGTGTGATGAGGTAGGGGTTATTTTATTAGAAGTCTGGAATTTTTTTATGATTCTTGGCTCCCTTTTATCCTGGTGTGAGAATGCTTCTGGGAAAATGAGGAACTAATACTGATCTTGGACCATATCTTCCTAAGTGTCTGTCCCATTCCATTCTTTGTTTTCACATGCCATGAAATGCATTGTATATAAATGAAAAGCTGGTGTCAGGCAGAGTCCTGCAGACTATAGAAGTGTTGTCTGTCCACTGCTGCTGACTTTTTCAATTGCTTCATTCTTTGTGCAATCCAAAAGCCTTGGTGTTTTATTTCTGCAGCAAGAAATAAGAGGGAACCCCAGAGAGCATTTAATATCCGTTACTTTAAAAATATTTAGTTCCTCCTTGGCTAAATTTATAAAAATGTAGGGAAAAGAATGCTGAAATTAATACTAAAAGGTATAGTCATTTCCTCTCTGTCAGTGACCACAGCATTCTTAAAAAGAGTATTTCTTATATTCCAAGATCTCACAGCAGCTGAAAGATGTATTAATCTCGTAGTCCTCTAAACCTATTGGACATTACTGTGCAGATGTTTGGGGCTTGTGAAGATTAAGAGAAAGCAGAAAGATCTGGGTTTATCTCAGAAGAAAAGACTTGTGATCTTGCATTAACTGGCCACTGGCCTCAGGAACCCTTAAAATAGAGTGGGTGGGGGGATGGAGATTCAAGAGGAGATTCAAGTGTGCTGGCTTGCCAGTGGCGAATTTTAGAGGCCCTCCTTTTCAAGGTAACAGGACATCAATCAGCCCACTTTCAGTAATGATCAGTCACAGTCTATTTCTGACAGAAGTGGATTCTTCCAGTGCCAAGCAAGCAGTACCTCCCTCTCCCTAAACCAGGTCTGCTCAAGTAATATCTGGGTGATGGTATCAAATTCAGAGGATTTTTGAAAGAACAGTAAGTCATCAGAATAAGGGCTAACTTCTGAAAAATTTTATGCCCCACATACATACATCTAGAGTCATAAAAACCATTTGGTGTCATTCCATCAGTTGCTGTGTGTTCTGTGTGTGTGAACAGTGAGAAAACAGAGCCACTATTGAGTTATATAAATGCAGAAAAGGGTTGTGGGGGGGTGAATGCCGGCCTTCTGGAAATGCTATTTTTTCACTTTGGGGTAACTCCAGGAACCAAGTAGAATTTTCTGATACATTTGCCAAATAAAAGAGCTGAGGTTGAGAACTAGCATGAGATATTTTAGGTAAATGTACGTTTCAGAGAGCAAAGGAAGAAAAGCTCTAAATACAAATATAAAAGCTACATCCTGACTTTTCCTATGGAGGCATGTTGTCACTTCCTCATAGAGGCATAAACATTTTAACATTCACCATAAATATAATTCATTGCATTTTTACCCTGAAGACAGTTAAAAAATCAGCAGGCCCCCAGATGCTGCATTGGCCCCGACCATGTTAACATTCTGCTGTCTCTCCTTTTTCCCCCCATCTTCTTGTAACACCTCCTCTTCCCAGTAAGGAAATCAGAGCAGCTACAAAATGAAATTATACATGAAGTTTCTTTGTCTTGGGTGCATATAAAAGCCAAACTCTTAGAGCAGAAACCTTGTTACATTTGGAATCATGCTGTTCTTTAATCCCTACCTGGTTTTCTTTCTTTGTAACCCACTCTTTCCATTCCTCCCTTATGCCAGTACCCTTCCCAGTGCTTAAGAACAAATAGTGAGAAATAGGGGAGATGGAAAAGAATAAAGGGATATCCATTTTATGGCACCCAGATACATGTCTTAATATTTCTCTTCTCCAAACACATTACCCAAAGTAGAGATGAGCTAGTGTTCCAAGACCCCACTAGTCTCTGACCGTGTCTTAGCCTCCCTACACATAGCCCTCTCCTGAGCCTGGCATCTTAGGATGCCAGCTGTGTGGTTGGGCTGTATTTCTGTGAGTCTGTGTAGCAATAGCAGTGTCTGTGAAGCAAAAAAGCCCTAGCATCCTTGGTGTCCTTATTGTCCCATTTCACATTACTTAGAGTAGATCTTGTTGAGACGTTCTCTCACCATGTATGTCAGATTGATGATATGCACAAGGGGTCTGGGTAAAATACCATCATCCATTTTTTCTTGCAGTTAAGAAGTCATTTAACTTTGAGTCTGTAATGATTGTTTTTAGTATGATAATCACCAATTTTGGTACTTTATTATTAGCAACCAGTTGTTTTTCAACTGATGTAGACCTGCCATGGTTGAGAACCCCTGGCATGGCATGGGGCATCTGATGAACTATGGCCCTTATCCTGAACCCACCTAATGTTCCTCATTTTCTGCACTGCTCATAGCAGTTCTCCTTCATTCAACAAATATGTATTAAGCAACCAGAGATGTAAAGATAAGTAAGGCCCAGTTCTGCACCTTAAGGACAGAACCCAGTTGGGGAGATAGACACACATGAAACAAGCCATTCTGTAGGACACACTGGGGTGCAAAGAACAGACTGGAGTGGGACTTGAAGAGGTTCTAACTAATCTGTGAATTCAGAGATATGGTGTTGGAATGCGGCTGTGGAGAAAAAATATCTTCTGTGAGCGAGAAAGGGAGAGAAGGCATTCCAAGCGTAGAGGACAAGATGAGTCGAGTAGGGATCTGGTAGCTGAGTCTGAGCTCTGCAGAATGTAGGCATCCAGACTGTGGGTGCAGCAAAGGGCCTGGAGAGGAGGGTGGGCCCAGGTGAGGTGGTCCAACAGCTGGGAGAGGGCGCCAGGGCCTTGGTCCTCTGTCCTGTGGTAACAGGGAGGTGTGGGGAGGCCGTCAGTCAGACGGCTTGGGGTGGTAGCAGGGCTGGGAGGAATGGGGCGGACGGGGCCTTGGAGTCGGAAGACCAGTTAGAGCACGGTTGTTCTGATCCAGGCTGGAGATGTGGGAATTTGGAGGACAATCGGCAGGTTAAGACCAGTTATCTTCAGTCTTTGTGTTTCAAGACCAGCACCCAGGGTGCCTGACACACAGTTTGTGCTCAGAAATAGTTGAACTTAATTAGACAAATTGACTGTGGAATCTGAGGGAAGGGAAGGGAAAAAAGATAGTAGCTTCAAGGTGTTTAGCTTAAGATAACAAATAGAGGGGGGGCACGTTTAGAGTATTGAGTGGAGGAGAAATGGAAAAAACCTGTTAGTTTTTAAGCAGTTTGAATTGCCGCTGAGGTGTTCAGTAGAGATGTCTAAGAGACAGCTGGAGATAACAGGTTTGTTGCTGAGGAGAGAGAGGGCTCTCAAGTCAGATATCTATCCTTATTCTTACGTTAGAAAAGCTTTTCCTTGCGATCCTATTATCCCTTCTGCCAATATCCTGTACCTGAAACCCCATCCTACCCTGCTACGGAAGTTCTGTAGGTTTACTGTGGGAAAATGCCATATTTCAGTGAATCGGGTTTGGTATCAAGGCTTCAGAACTTTGCTTTGAGTATAAGATACGTTTATGTACAAGATCATCTAACCATGCAGACCCACCACAAACTGTCCTATTAAGAAAACACAGCCTACTCTAGAGGACAGCTATAGTTTAGCATTGAGTGTGGTGGACTTAGAATCAAGAGGCCTCATTTACTGAACAAATTATGTTATTCCAAACCCTTAGCTGTCACGTGGAAAAACCTGTCCTGCTCCAAAGTCAAAGGCTGTGTGCCGGCATTCACTTCTCAAATAAAATATCGTTATTATTAAGGTTTGGTGTGTGTCTAGTCACAGTGGTCCGCTGTGACTCATTGATCCTCAGGGGTTACCCTGTTGCCTTTTAGCGTAGAGGCAGTAAAGGGAAAAATACGCCTGTCCTGGCTGCAAAGCCCTGGTGTCTGTCTTGAGAGCCAGTCAGCAAGAGAAGGATCCAAAACTCTAGAAATAGATGTATTAGGTGACTGCGTGGAACACACCCCTACTGCGCTATTATATAAATACAATCATTCTAATTAACTTCCACAACTGCAGTTCTAGGCATTTGTTCATGGAAGTTTTTATATGGTGATGCTACTACCATCAACCAGATTTATAAACACTGAAGAACAGAACCTGAATATTCATTCCAGACTTTGAGTAATGAAATTAGAAAACAAAGACGCATACAAAGAAAGTACCAGTCTCACTATGGTCATGTACTCTGGGAGAACCGGTGTGAAAAACTGGAATTAATTGCTATCTTAATGTCATGGGGGTTCAGTTACTCTCTGCACTGCCATCTAAGGAAACGGCACAAGAATTCAGCCCATTGAATTCTGGCAGCTTTTGGAAACATACATGGTTTTTTTCCCCCTGTTATTTTTTGACACATCCCTCCCCCGCCTCTTGAAGGCCTGCTTTCTAGCTCTTCCCTTAGGGAGTAGTTTTATGGGCAAGTTTCTTTTGTAGGCTTCCAGCTGGCTTCATTTTCACTATCTCCATGAAGTCCCTGCCTCTGTCACATTAATATGATATTATGCATCATGCATTGCCTCGGGATTTTCCCTTTGAATTGTTGACTTCATATTTTTGGTGTGCACACACAGGCTATCTCCTGGCTCAGACATCTACGTGACAGTCTCATCCATGGCGTTAGCAAGATCCCAGCAGTGCCGGAACTCCCCTAGCAACCTGTCATCATCCAGCGAGACTGGCTCTGGTGGGGGCACGTACAGGCAAAAATCCATGCCCGAAGGGTGGGTATACCTGTGGGCCCATTGTACATGGTCCCAGTTGACATGCATCTTGCATCTATAATTCAGACATGTAAAATGGTTTCCATTCAGCCAGGCTTGATCAGTTCTCAAAAAAGCAAAGGGAAAATATGGTTAATATTGCAGATGGAAAAATGTTTTAATGGCTGGTTCAAATCATTTCTTAGGAATTTTATCATTCTTCTAGTCTCTTAGACTCAGTGGTGGAGAGATCAGATTATATCAGTTTCTCATTACATCTGTGTCATCTAGTTTAACGGTACAGATTTTGTCACTTCTTAATATTTCCCACAAAGTGAACTCAGTAGTCTACTGTGTTTGTACTGGTAGGAGTTTGTATCCCTATTCAAATGGGAGAAATGGTCGTCCTATCCAAAGCTTAAAATTATTATTCTCACATGTTAGAAGTCTTCTGTGATTTCAGCCCTATGAGTTGTTGATTTTGTTTTGTTTTTGTTTTTCATCTTTTTTGAAAACACTAAACACCCAAAAGTAACTCTTTGCTTCTGACAAGACTTACAAAGTGAAAAGCTAAACATGCATGATTTTAGAGGCTACTAAAATGGAAAAAAAGAATGTTTGAAATGGCTGAAGCTAGGTAGTAATTAGCAGCAAAATACTATATGGATACTATATGGCAAAACATGACACGGCACTCACAGGCCACCTTGCCCAGAGGAGGGGTAAAAGAACCAGGAGACCTCCTGCTGGGGTGGCTCTTTGGGCCCTGGACGAAGACTTGAAAATCAGATGTGAGGTGTTTATAAAAATTGATGTTTCTATTTTCTACGTTTTCCCCAAATGTTTTTTGAACAAAAGCACATAGGATTTGGCTACTTCCTTGGGATTTGACCATGTCATAACGTAATCATGCGTACTAAGAATACTACCTAATAGGTGTTTTTCTATCTTATACTGTTTTGTTGGTGTTTACAGCTGTTATGTTTGAGTTTTGTTGTTAAACGTTTATGTCAGCAGAAAGTAGGTAACAAAACCACCTAAAGGATGTTTCCCTCTCTCCTCATCCTCCAGTATCTTCCCCAGGATTCCCTTGGTAGCCTTTCTAAAATGCACATGTCTTACTTTAAGTAACTCAGGGACAATTAGAAAAATATTTTAGCTCTTATTCATGAGTCCCTGCAAAAGGTTTTATGAGTTAAGCATTATTATACCATACCACAAGCCCGACTGATTGTTTCTTGTTTTAAATAGTAGATTTTAAATGGCCTGGATTGACTTCAAAATAACAATTCATTGCAGCTTCAGTGTTAGTACAGTAATAAAATATAAATGAGCAACCACCACCACAAAGACAGTGTTCTCCTCTCACTGAAAGCCTTTTAATGTATGCCCAACATGTAAGTTGCAACATTAATGTTTTGGTAAATGTTAATGTCAGAAACAGGGTTCCAGTGCTCATGCTGTGTAGGTTTCCTAACAAGGTGGTGATTTCGACCTGATGTTAAGTACTAACCCTTCTGTGAGTGATAGGGTGTAATGTACTATATTACATCTTTTTTACCTGGAGTGATGTTTTACAAGATGATAGTACAATGTTTTCCTCCAGCTCCCAAACAGTGATGCGTGAGACAGCGGCTCACTGTCTGGTTCAGGTACATTGCTCATGGGCCAGATGTGACCCTAAAGTGACCATTGCTAAGGGGAAAATGATTATGGGCCCTGGACGAAGACTTGAAAATCAGATGTGAGGTGTTTATAAAAATTGATGTTTCTATTTTCTACGTTTTCCCCAAATGTTTTTTGAACAAAAGCACATAGGATTTGGCTACTTCCTTGGGATTTGACCATGTCATAACGTAATCATGCGTACTAAGAATACTACCTAATAGGTGTTTTTCTATCTTATACTGTTTTGTTGGTGTTTACAGCTGTTATGTTTGAGTTTTGTTGTTAAACGTTTATGTCAGCAGAAAGTAGGTAACAAAACCACCTAAAGGATGTTTCCCTCTCTCCTCATCCTCCAGTATCTTCCCCAGGATTCCCTTGGTAGCCTTTCTAAAATGCACATGTCTTACTTTAAGTAACTCAGGGACAATTAGAAAAATATTTTAGCTCTTATTCATGAGTCCCTGCAAAAGGTTTTATGAGTTAAGCATTATTATACCATACCACAAGCCCGACTGATTGTTTCTTGTTTTAAATAGTAGATTTTAAATGGCCTGGATTGACTTCAAAATAACAATTCATTGCAGCTTCAGTGTTAGTACAGTAATAAAATATAAATGAGCAACCACCACCACAAAGACAGTGTTCTCCTCTCACTGAAAGCCTTTTAATGTATGCCCAACATGTAAGTTGCAACATTAATGTTTTGGTAAATGTTAATGTCAGAAACAGGGTTCCAGTGCTCATGCTGTGTAGGTTTCCTAACAAGGTGGTGATTTCGACCTGATGTTAAGTACTAACCCTTCTGTGAGTGATAGGGTGTAATGTACTATATTACATCTTTTTTACCTGGAGTGATGTTTTACAAGATGATAGTACAATGTTTTCCTCCAGCTCCCAAACAGTGATGCGTGAGACAGCGGCTCACTGTCTGGTTCAGGTACATTGCTCATGGGCCAGATGTGACCCTAAAGTGACCATTGCTAAGGGGAAAATGATTATATCTACTGCACAGCTTAGCCCAGGAAAAATAGATACGTACAAGGTGACAGTGAAGCAGGCGTGTATGGAGGCTGCTGCCAACTCACTGATGTCAAACTTTAAAAAACTCAAAAGCATGAGCTTGCTGCTCTGTTGTCCTCCCTCTGCTTCTGGGGGCCCAGTGTGCGATGCGTCCCTGTGCGCTCACTGGTGGGCGGATGATGAGACCATCCAGTCGATTGAGAGGGGAAATCTCGTAGGGTGGTTAATACACCCTCTGCACCTGAGCTGGGGAGACAGGGTGTCTGCACAGGTTTAGGGCGTGAATGAGAGATGGCAAAGCAACACTGCTGAAAAGACACCCTACCATCTTTGGAGATTTGTTTCTGGGCCATGTTTCTCATTACAGAGGCAGGCCATGTCCAGAGGGAGGGGCAGCCTGTGTAAATGAGGTGTTTGGAGGTAGTGGTGTGAGGAGCATAACTGAGGGTGGAGAACCTGGAGATAAGGAATTGTGAAGGCTGGAGGCCACGACTGCTTTCCTCTGGCACTGCTGCGAGGGCGTCCAAACTTGGCTCTGAGGGCACCTGAGACCAATAACTGAAGGCTACAGAGAAGCCTGCAGCCCGTTATGAGGTAGATATTTCAAAGCGGTCAGCCTGCTCTGCAGAGAAGTGGACTGGCATGCAAGCTAGAGTTCTTGGTCACCGACCATGTTTCATGTATCTGCCAAATGAGCACCTACTCCTTCAGATCTGAACTGTGACCCCCAAACTACTAAGTGCTCCTCCAAACTAAGGGACAATCAAGCACTTGAAAAAGAGGCTGAATGTCGAATCAAGTTTTTTCTGAGCTCATTAAGGATAGGATCTTTGTATCCCCAGTGCCCTCACACATAATAAATGAGGGGCGTGAGAACTGAAATTACAAGTTCATTGGATGAAAACATTGCTCAAGGCAGAATTAAAGGCAGCCTTACTTTATCATGCATTTAAAACCAGACTGACCGAAAAGTGTCTGGCTTTAAATTCAGAGGTTTTAAAAGCTGTCTTTAGTTTCTATGGCTACTGAAAAGTAAAAATCATTCCAAGAATGATTGACTTAGTGATTTAGCAGATTACCAAAGTTAAGAGAAACCTCTTAACTTAGAATCCATGTCTGACTTAGTCTTAATTTAGTGCAAATTTAGAGTAGGATCATAGGGCCAGTTTGAGCGTATTCATTATTCTAAACAAGGACTTTACTTGGAGAGGAGATGCCAAAGATTGTAATTAGTGAATCCTCTTTTTTAAACACTTTCACTGGTTTTCATAAATCAGGGTGTTGTTTTTAATAATGGAAATTCTGTTCAGTGAGGCTTGAGACTGAGTTTGTAAATGATTATCATTTGTGCAAAAATGTAACAAGGGAGATGTTACAGTAGATGTTACTAAAATATTTTATAGCTTTATCTACTTTGCAAATGCTTTTACCCAGATTTTTTTTCTTCCTGGATCCATATGATGGAATTGCCATTTTACAAGTAAAGAAATGGAGACAAAACTTGGGTGACTTTAGGGTGTCAGCTAGCATGTGGGTCCAGGTCTTCTTTCTCCCAGTGGGTTCCTGCTCTTCCCAGTACACCACTTGCTGGTTCTCTCCAGGCATTTATCTGTCTGTAGCAAATGAGACACCTGTGTTATATGTATCATCAATTCAGACCCTGTTTTGTCTTTTATTGTACAGATTATGCATGAGTTCATTAGTAACCACACAGATTTGTGAATTTCCAAATGCATCTTTGCATTTTATGCTCTCCCTTTTTCATGGGCTCAGTATTTACTTTGCAGACACTGATAAGGCATATGCCTTAATTAAGCATATATTATTGTTCTATACAGGGAAAAATAAAACTGGCTCATTAAATGAGTAAAGGTTCTTTCTGAAAATAGACATTTGCCTTTACATATGCCAGTTTACCTACTTCCAAATTGCCTTTCACAAAGGCAGTCTAAAATATACACATTTTCAAAGTGGTCCCAGTGAATGTAAATGATAGCAGTCTTCATCTTTCAGATCTCAGAGCAAGTGCTCAGAAAATACTTGTCCCAAGAATCACTGACTTAATGATTTAGCAGATGACCAAAGTTAAGAGAAACCCCTGAAATGTACCAATTGAAAAATACGCACGGAACGTGAGGATGGTGAAATTTTTCCTTTGGCTGTGAATGACAGTCTGAGCTTGGCTATACAGGGCCAAAAGATTTTGGTTTCTAATTGTATGTGCCTTAGGTCAGCTCAGTCCTGCATGGCTCCTGCCCTTGTGGACAGCATGTATACTTGGCATACATACCCTTTCAGAATAGAGTGATGTATTTTGACCATAACACGCACAGTGCCATCACCCATGTACACGTGCACAAGGATGAATACGCAAGCACAGGCATGAAAGCCGAACCAGTAGTACCTGATGAGAGAGTTTAGCTCACTACACCCAGGACTCCTGCCCCTCCCGGGTGCTGTCCCTGATATTTGTTGTCTTTGCCTGTGTTTGGGGAAATGACCGCAGGTTTGGAGTAAGCCGCAGATCCCCGGCCTCCATTGACAGACAGAATACCCAGTCAGATATTGGTGGTAGCGGAAAGTCCACACCCAGCTGGCAAAGAAGTGAAGATAGCATTGCCGACCAGATGGGTAAGTCACTAATTTCTGCAAAAAACAAGTTATTTTATACCAGGGTGACTCTGGCCACGTTGATGGTGTCAGCAAAGCATTCATTCCATAATACTGCCCTGGTTAATTAAATGTGAATCAAAAGTAAGTCTTCGTTAGACTATGTGTAAGTGAAAACAACAAAGAGGACCTGGGGGGAAATGGCAAGGAATTCTAAGTGACCCTGAATTTGAAAACCGGACAGAGGAATTATTCAGAGCACCAAGATGAAAATACTGCCTGCCAGACCCTGTGTGTGCTAAGTGCCTCCCCCTGCCTTGGCTGGTTGGTTTGCCCCAGTGGGAGTGCCCAGAGAGATTCATCAGTATGCCTATGTCCAGTTTAAAAAAAAACACCAAACTGTACAAAGTGGGAAAGAGATATAGTTGTTTTGTCACATACGTAGTTGGTTAGGATCTCTTTCCTCCCTTCCTTGTGTCCCCCGCCCAGGAAGCTGTCAGCTAGGTCGCCTTAGCAGTATAAAACAGCTGGATGGGAAAGATTTGCATTAGGGAGCCTTCATTTGCATTTCTGGCACATTGCCCTTTTTCTTGCTATATGTGCAGTTGTTCTACAATGACACCATAACACTAGTTGATACCATAAAAGTTTGCCATGAAACAAGATTAAGTTTCAAACCAGTGGCACCAGGGATTTAGAGTCAAAACAGTTGATACATCAGGGACTTGAATTAGGTGGGGTGTTTTCCTTTATCTTACCTCTAGTATTACCATCAGTGTGGGATTAAAAAAAAAGTAAAATTCAGGGCTGACGAAGATAAACTTTAAAGGCAAAGACCCATCTTTTTATTTTTTCTGCAGATGCATTGTCTTGTTCTGTTCTAATGAGTGTGCCCATGTACATGTACCAACCACGAACACAAAAGGGAGTGGAGATGTACTCAGCTAAGACTGGAGTTAAGGAAGAGAATTAATTCTTAGGTTCGGAAGATAGGCTTTGTTCTACTGACTTCAGTGAGATGTGCCTTGTTATTGAAGCCATCTGTCATTACCCACTCTCATCCCACCCACCCCCAACACAGAAAACCTGAGCATATTCTGATCTGCTGTTCTGCTCCTGACAGAATGTTTTTAATCCCATATGTTTTGATACCGTTGAGATGGAAACGACATGTGGAAAGAATCCCTTCATCAGCATGACTTTAGCGGCTTTTTTTGGCTCCTAGTGCAACTTTGAACAAAGCTGCCAGCAAGCCCTTTGTGCAGTGTTCAGGGTCCCACTTCCCACTCATGTGCAGTCACATGGGGAATGAAAAGGTACCCTGGGACTGGAAAGGGTTATTATAAGGTTCATCCTAGACTGTTATTCATTCTTTCAGATGAACCTCCTATTAGTCTTTTTTTCCCTTGCATCTACTTTAATTTGGTGGCTTCCCACTCTTGATAGGCAAGACTCTGAAATTAATATCAATGAATCTTTTAAACACATTTGTTTATCCTTTCAGTAAGATATACTCTTTTTTTTTTTTTTTTCAAGTAAGATACCCCTAGAGCCTGCCAGAGGAGCCTTTGCACCAATGGGTGGCCTTTCTCTGTCCAAGACCTAAGGCTTCAAGTAAAATGCTAAAACAGATTTTTACAACTTTTTGATATTCTAACATTCCAGAAGAGTAACATAGCCTTTTCTAACAGGCACATCAGAAGGAATCTGGAGCTTAGTTAGTATAAGCCATGCTAGGGAGAAAGCAAGAAAAATAATTATGTTCTCATTACTCAGTGTGATATACTGAGTGTATGAAGAACTGACCTTTATACACTCTATTTGGAAGGACAGAATTACTTACAGACTTCCAGGTCACTGACTGAAAATGTTGAGATTCTTACTTGGTAGCTGGAGCCCCCCTCTCTTTGTACATCAGTGTGTGATAAACTGGTGCCCCCTCGGAGACAAGGAGTTTAACTTGATCAATTGGCTCACTCATCTCAAAGGATGTTTGCTTTTCTGCCTCTGCTTTTGGAAAAGGTTGAGAGCAAAGAGTATGTTGCTCTGTCCTTTACTGGAAGGTTAGGAATGGTACTGCAGAAGTCCAGAATTGTTGCTGTTAGCTATAGATGTGTTAAAGAAGCGAAATCACTTACCTTTCATCTTTGGAACCCCACCTCAAACACCACCTTGGAGTCCAAAAGGAAGCAATTGTTTTAAGTAAACTAGTTGCTGTGTGTCTTTTCTGTTGTGCTTAGCTTACAGTTATAGAGGACCTCAGGATTTCAATTCTTTTGTCCTCGAGCAGCATGAATATACAGGTAAAATATTTCCAAAGTGTCATGGTAAGTAACATGTGATTGCATCCATGCTTGTCTAGGTAATATAGACCAAGCTAGGTTAGCCACACTTTGCAATGAATGAATTTCATATATTTAATCCATATATTCTGGACCTCCCCCCAGAACCGAAAGTCGATTCCTAACTTTGCCGCATTGTTCATGGCCTTTGGTTTGGTGGTACTTGGCTACGCTAACGTGTCTGATGCGACACACTGTCACCAGCTGCAAGCTTTACCCATCAGCCACTTAGTTTCTGACATGCTGTCTATTGTGTAAACTCTCAACAAGCTTATTGCTGAAATTCAGTTTGCTGGTCAGTGAACTGAGAGATGCAATGGCAAGCCGTCTTCATTTGTCGACATGTGCTGGTATCTGTTCAGTGCCTGCACCATAATGTCCTGTGCTGTATTCCAGAGCCAACATGCCATCTCCCAGCAGTATCAAAGGTACTGCCAGCTTTCCGCGAGAGCCCCAGTGGGAGATTAATGCGGCAGGATCCAGTGGTTCATTTGTCTCCAAACAAACAAGGGCATGTAAGTTAACTGTGAAATAATAAAAAAGACAAGATTCCTTGCAATGTGAAAATGGTACAGGTCTGCTCTGCTTTTCCTTCCCCATGGTCGGAGAGGAAGTCACCCACACAGAAAGTGGGCTTTTGCTGCCATGACCCTTGAATTCTGTTGGCAATGGCCCTATGGTTGCTTTAAGATAAAGAGAAATTCCTCTTTGGTGTGCACAGATCTGGGTGGAAGCCCATGTGATCCAGTCACAAACAATCCTAAAATGTTAGGAATAAAAACGTGCTAGAAGTGGGTTTTATTTGCCTATACAGTGCAAAATGAGATATGATTGGAGCATCAGTCAAGGTGACAGACACACAGCTTCCCAACCACTCCCCCAACTGCTTCTCTTGTCTTCCACAGCTACACAGATTTTTGTCCTTTTACCGTAGTTCTATACAATTCCTTATCACTTACAAGTAGAACTGGGAATTAGAGATTATCATTTCCTCCCCCTTTAAATACAGTTGACTTCTTTGGTCTGTCTATGCACTGGAATGTGTATTTATAATTACGTCCTTCTATAAGATGAGGAAACACTTTGTTTCACATTTACAAATTTATAAGATGCTCAGAACTCGTAATGAAAGGCTCATACAAGTTTTTCTCTAGTGAAATCAATACTGAAACTAAAGAAACATGAGGAGAGAGCACGCCCATGCGTGAGCAAGCACCCTGCTCTAGGCTGTGTGCAGATTTACTGACAAAACATGCTGTTGTCACAGCTGTACTTATAAATAAATGACACATCATTCCAGTTGATCTGTCAGTTTCCCTGCTTTACTAACGATTTTTGTATTGATTACTTGGTAAAGTAGTATTTTGAATAGATAGGGTTATATAAAATATATAAAATTAATTCCACCTCTTTATTTTTACTTTTAAGAGTTGGCTACTAGAAAATTTTAAATGAATGATTGTGATCATGTTACATTTCTTTAGAACTCCGTTAGGTACTTTACATTCTCAGCACACCTCAGTTCAGACTAGCCACCTTTAAAGTGCTCATTGCCGCACACGGCTTGGGGCTACCAAATCCCACAGCATAGGTCCGGAGCTAAAGAAGGTCTGCCCTGCAAGTATTAAACACAAGTGAAGGCCTTGTAACGTGCAAGGTGTTAGTGAGGAAAGCTAGAGTAGACCAGTACAGTAACTGGGACATATTTTTGTTTAAGGGAAGAGATTGTTCTCTTTCAGGTGAAATTTGGGTGCTTTCCTTCTGTCTCTTCCCTCAGCAACACCCACACTATATTCCTTCTCTTTTCTTGTAGTCTCCACCAAGTATCCAAACTTCCTGCCTCTGCCTATTGTAAAATACTACTTTATTCAGATATCTTGAAATCTTATTTCTTTGGTAACTATAAAATGTTCTCTCTAAGCACCAAGTCACCATGGAGAAAAGATTGTGTACATTTTATTAATTGAGATATTCACATAACATATGATATCCACCCATTTGAAATGTACAACTTCATGGTTTTTAGTATATTCAGAGCTGGGTAACCAACTCCATGATCTAACTCCAGAACAACTTCATCACCCCAAAAAGAAACACTATATCCTAGGCAGTTACTCTGATTCTTCACATCCCCTCCAAGCCCTCAGCAACCACTAATCTGCTTTCTGTTTCTGTTGATGTATCTGTTCTCGACATTTCATATAAATTGAATCCTACAATATGTGGCCTTTGTGTCTGGCTTCTTCCACTTAGCATGATGTTTCAAGGTTCATCGATTTTGCAGCATGTACTAGTACTTCCTTTTTATGACTGAATAATATTTCATTGTATGGATGTAGAATTTTTTTTTAATCCATTCATCAATTTTATGGACATTTGGGTGTTTCTACTCTTCAGCTTTTATGAATAATGCTGCTGTGGACATTCATGTAGAAGTTCTTATGTGAACATATATTTTCATTTCTCTTGAGTAGATACTAAGAATGGAATTGTAACTTTTCCCACAGCAGCTGCCCCAGTTTACATTCCCACCAGTAATGCTGGCTATCATATGGTCTGCCTTTTTTATTATAGCCATCCTAGTGTGTGTGAGCTATCTCATTTTTTGTGTGGTTTTGATTTGCATTAGCCTACTGACGAGTGATATTGAGCATCTTTTCATGTGCTTAGCCATTTGGATATCTTTGGAAAAATGTCTTTTCAAGCCTTTTGCCCATTTTTTAATTGGGTTATTTGAAGCACGAAAGTATTTAATTTTGATGAAGTCCAATTTATTCTTTGATTTTGTGTGCGTGTGATTTTGGTGTCATATCTTAAGAAACCACTCCATAATCCAAGGTCATGAAGACATACACTTATGTTTTCTTCTAAGAATCTTATAGTTTTAGCTCTTACATTTAGTGTTTTTTTTTGTCTTTTTGAGTTTATTTTTCTATGTGGTAAGGATCCAACTTCATTTTTTTTGCATGTGTATTATCCTGTTGTCCCAACACCATTTATTGAAAAGACAATTTCCCATCGTTGAATTAACTTGGCACCTCTGTGTAAACTTAACCTTTAAGTACTCCTTAGAAAGCTGTCTCCTAAACAGACACTAACTAGGGAAGGAAAAGGGGGTCTCTTTAGGAATAAGTCTTACATTCCTCCTTCTATTTATGCTTGAGCAGTACAACTCTTAGAATTCAGCATATTTCTAATTAAAATGATCTCAATACTATTGATACTTTCACATAAGTCAATGAAAAATGGATTCAAAAAAGTCCAATTTCAGTCCTCTCTGCCCTGGATACTTCTAAATCAGTGTGTCTAGGCCCTTCCTGTCTTAGTCGGGTTTGTCAGTGGGATTTGTGTGCCTTAGAGCCCCGCACCAGGGACCGTGCCACAGGGTCACTCTCGCATTACTCCCTGGTGTCCCACAAGCAGAGCCCGTCCTGAAGTACATCTTGCTCCCCTTGCAGTCTGATAGCCACTACTCGAGCCACTCTAGCAGCAATACCCTCTCCAGCAATGCATCGAGTGCCCACAGTGATGAGAAGTGGTATGACGGGGACCGCACAGAGTCTGAACTCAATAGTTACAACTACCTGCAAGGCACCTCCGCAGACAGCGGCATTGACACCACCTCCTATGGCCCCAGCCACAGCAGCACAGCCTCCCTGGGGGCTGCCACGTCATCACCTCGCTCAGGGCCAGCCAAGGAGAAAGTGGCACCCCTGTGGCATAGTTCCAGTGAGGTGATCTCCCTGGCAGATCGGACTTTGGAGACAGACAGCCACGGCATGGACCGGAAAACAGAATCCTCCCTGAGCTTGGACATCCTCAGCAAGAGCCAGACCGGCTCCAGCCCCCTGACAAGGGAGAACAGCACTTTCAGTATAAATGACGCTGCTTCCCACACAAGGTAACTAACTGCCTGTCGCTTCCCAGCCCAGCCCTGAGTCCAGTTTGCAGCCTCATCCCACTCCGCGTTGTTCACTAGCATATAAAGAAAGGAGGTTTTTCATGTAGTAACAATTATTTTTATATACTTAGCACCTTTGCCACCCAGATACCTTCTTCCTGTGATCCTAATGCATTATTTTAAACTGTGAAACAAGTTTACAGATTAGTCTTTGTGAAGTTGTATTTGACTTATAAAAATTTTATGTACGCATATCAGAAGTAGGAAGAATTTCATGATTTTGGCTTTCAGCTAGTGATAGAGAATATGAGTGGAACTGTGTTTTGAAGACATTAAAAGAAAATCTTGACCACATTTTTTTAACAGAAAGAGGTCTTTCCTAGGACTAACAGCATTATTTATAATGTTGAACACATCCCGTACACTGCCTCTCTCTCAGACAACATCACTTACCCAGTGTTTGCATGGTAATTTTTTTCAGTAACTGGCTCCTGACAGTGATATGTTGGGGGTGGGGGTGGGGATCCAACAGAAAAGGGTAGCTAGGACTAGACACCCCATCTACCTGTGAGAATAGGAAAATACACATTCCCCTGTATCCTTGGAGATCACTTTGGTAGGCAAAATATATGCCATTTTTCATTTCCTTTTGGATTTGAGCCTAAAATCCAAAGTATGATAAGAGTCTTCCTTTTAGGAAGGGAACAGCCCGTGCTATCTTCTTGGGCCTGTTGATCTCCATGGTGGTTTCCCCTTTGACCTTTTTTTGTTGGCAGCCATTGATCAGCTTGTGTGACAGCATCTAACTTACTGTCTTCTGGGCCTTTTTTATTATTATGCCCTAAAGAAAATAGCTGAATTTCAAATCTGGAACTCAGGCACATAGTGTGTCAGTAAACCCCAGATAATCTTAGTGAGAGAGGAGACATTCTCTATTTCATTTGGATTTTTTGGAGTTGATTAGTTAAATATTCAGTTCTCTCATTGTCTCTGTGTTGTTATGGATTAGGTTTTTGAGCTTCCCATCTTTTAAAATTCCAGACTGGCCCCATGTTATGAAGCATTTCATGAGTTTTCTTTCAGTTTACCACCACCACATTGCAGTAACAAAAAATGACAGTGACAAATCTGGAAACTACACAATCCCCAAAGCAAAATGGCAGTTGGGAAAATAGTTTCAGTGTTCTTGAGTACCAGGCATCCAATTAACCTTTTGACAATACAGAGAGTAAAATGTTTGATTCAGTGGGCTAAGGAAGTATTTGGAAAAGCAGAACATGGGCATCAAATACCATAATAATGTGACATAGAATCACAAGACTCAGAATTATGACGCTTACTTGCTGTTTGGGCATGCCCCACCCTCCGCGTACCCTCTGCATTGCCTCCGACCATTTTTCAGTTCAGAATAGTTTCTCTCTAGTTCCTAGGTTTGGCTTGACTCCTCTCTCTTTGGTGTTCAGTTCTTCATTTTGAAAGGAGGATGTTCTTTTAAGAGGGATACTCCATCTCTGGTCTAATTTGATGGCAGGAGAAAGTCAGTGATAGAGGTCTTATCTAGAAAGGCATCATCATGGAGTAAGGTTGAGAAAGGAGTAGACCTCTGAAGCTGAAGCATGAATGTCAGCTGTGTCATCTAACAAATCCCTGGGGATCTACAAAGTTCCCCCCTGGAAAGTAGACACCTGGCCTTGCATTATCTGAATGTGCTGACTGGAGCTGCCTGAAGGCCTCAAAGGATTATCTGAATTTTCTGCTTCAAACTGACCAGGCAGAAATCATTTGAATCATCATTTAGGCATAACTCTTCTGTTGAAAGTCAAACTTAGTGGAGAAGAGAAGAATGTGGCCTTCCAGGGACGGTGTTAGGGCTTCCCACCCACTGATAGGTTGAGTCACATTCACTTCTAGACTCCGGTAAATGGGGTACTTTGACTTCAGTCTGTTGATCTTGGCAGAGTGAGCTGGATAATCACCTTTAGCAGACTTCCTTTTCTGAAGAAAGAGGGTCTTAGGCACCAAATGCATGTTTCTAGACAATCTAAAATTGGTGCAAATTAGAGTGTTTGTGTCCTCGGAAGACAGGAACAGCAATTAATGTGGCGATCTCTTGACAGTGCATGAAAGAGTTTGTACCTGGGACTTGGTGACAAATCTAAATTACAGTGATTATGTTCCAGTGTGCATTTCTGGCTGGGCTGTGTTTCTACCCCCTGTCCTCCAGTCTCCCTGTTGATGATTGTGCAGGTTTTCTGTGGCATCCCATGAGAACTGCGTTAATAAGTTGGTAAATTACATAGAGTTGTTATAGTCCAATGTCATTAAGAGAAACCATATATACTGATAACATTCTACAGTTGAAAAGTCTTTAATTGCTCTGCAGTGTTGCTCCCTAGAATATCTATGTATTTTCTATCAAGTTTGGAAATTTAGGGGGAGATTTTTGTTTTTGTTTTTCTTAATTGCTATTTCACTTTCAGGTATTAAACCACTCAAAAAATGACTGGTGGTGAACTTACAGGAGATGAAGATAGTTCAGATTTTGATCGAGTCTCACCAGCTGGGTTCAGGTTTTAAAAGTTCTGGCCTTGGCAGTGGGTAGTGCCAGCTTTGTATAGTGACCAAAGACTACTTAGTTCACATACAGGAGCTCTAGTCCTGCTAAATAGTGGGATTGCCAACGTCAGAACTAGATTTCAAGCACAAATTACAAAGCTAAAAACCCCATCTTGTACTTGCACATAGATCTTCTCCTGTAACATCCTGGCCTGGCCTGAATGTCCAGGCTTCTGCATCTCATTAGCCAGCCCTCTGCGTCTTCCTCTTGCTTCCTGAGGCCACCTCAGAGCTCTGTAGCTGATTAATATCCAGTTATATATGGTCACAAACATTATGTTGCCATCCAGTATTGGAGGATTTCTCACCCAGTATGTTCATCTGAAGCATTCTGCATATCATGTGCCACTGTAAGCATAATAGACAGGTGCTCGATACATTTTGATGAACAAATAGAATGTTTACTTACGTTTCCTTAATGTAACTGATATACTCATTTTTTGCCTCATAACTCAAGGCCCCCACTAATAAACCAGTCCAAAACTAGTGCATCCTCAACTCCTGACTCCAGAAAATCACTGCTTCATTTCAAAGCTAGTAGTTTAGAGATCAGTATTTACACAGAGCTGTAGTACTCTTAGGACTCTTAGGTGTTTGTAACAGTGTACGTAAAGTCCTTGGACAGCAAGAAGTTGCAGTCATTTCTGTGTAAGATTTTTTTCAATCTGCAAGATACAACAGGGAAGGAGTTCATAAGCTTATATGCAAATACCAACCAGTATCTGGATATAAGTTGGTCAGTGTCTGCCATTCACCATAGGGGCTGATTTAAGTCCAGGAAAAGATGTCTGCCTACAGTTGTCACCACCACCATAGAGTTTCATGAATGTGCTTTTTCTGGTTGACCTAATAAGCTAGCTATTCATGCCAGAAAAACTGTATGCTTCTTAAAAGTAGAGGTAAAAAAGGGCTTCTTATATTTAGTTTACATTGAACACTAAGGCACACCTCAGGCTACCATAACATACTGGAGTATGTGTGGGGCCCTCTGTGTGTGTATTCCAGCTGATGTGTTTTAAGTTTTGTTCTCTGCCTTCTTTGGCATCCTACGTATGTGAAAAATATACCATCCTTCTTTGTTGAGAAGTTATTCTGTCATCTTTATCTGTAACATTTCCTTCTTAAATCTCTTCTGCTTGGATTTTTTTTTAATTACTAACAATTGCCTCTCATCTACATTTTTTTCTTAAGTTGAGAATATTATTTTTCTGAATTTCATGGACTAATTCATAAAAAATGCAGCCTCTAAAATGACAAACCCAGAACTTCAACATGTGGTTGTCTGTGCTTACCTTATGTTTCTGGATCATTTTCATCGGTAACTTATGCTTTGTGGCCCCACACACAATGAACATTCAGGACAATATTTAATTTTGCTCTTATACAATGGAACTCCAAGTCATCTCTCCTAAGCTGTCTTGCCCCCATTTCTCCCATTTCTCCCAGCTTATGGGAGTAGGTGATTTCATCCTACTTTATAATGTTCGGCTAACCTCAAAGATTGAAAAACAGAACCACTGTGGTTGAAATTCCAAGTGAACATTGAGGAAATGAGACCTCTGTCAAGCCACAAGTGTTAGATTGCCTGATGCTGAGCCAACCAACAGAAAGTTTATCATTACTTTGTTCTACAAAGCAACTAATCTGTTCATCCAGCTGATAGGGAAAGCCCAAATTCCCCAAATGCCATTGAATCATAAGACTAAGAGGAATTTTGAAAAGACAGTCCATTCCTAGTCATATGCAAACCATCCTACCAGGATGAGAATTGTTTAAAAAGGTTAGGGTGGAAGGTAATGTCAGGAAGAGAGGTTCCACAACTTTTCTGAGTAATTTCAGAACTGAACAAGTCCTCTCCTCCTTCAAAATTTTGTCCTATACATTCCTATCTGAAATTCTTCTAGCTGCAGCTTAAAGGGACACTTAAGAGAGAATAAATGGTTTTTCTGAGCTGAGTCTTATATGAAGGTTTTTAAAGTCTTGATTGTAAAATTTGTAGATAACAACAAGAAGCGATTTGAAAACAAAACAAAACAAAATTTTTTTTAACAGCCTTCCATTTCCAGGCAAGTCAAGAGCAAAATGTAGGGAAAATAGATGTTAAATCCTTAGATCCAGGTTCAGATCTTACTCAACCACTGATCCAGCCACGTGGCCCTCAGCCAGCAGTGCCTTTTCCCTGAGCTTGTTCCTTATGTGTAATCTAATACCTGGCCCACTTACTAAATGGTTGTGTTTTATGTTTAAGAATGAAAAAGGTTATCAAATCTGCTGCAAACTGTCACTGTCCTTTTCAGACAAAAGGTTTTCTGTTCTTTCTTTTTTAAGCTCTCCGGCACCTCCTTAATGTAGTTATTACTACTTTGCCTTCCACAAACATGTAT